CAATGCCACGTAGAATTAAGGCAGTTCTGAAGGCGAAAGGGGGTCAAACACCGTATTAGTATGGTGTTCCTAATAATCCTTTAGGTGAGTGTATGTCGGTTTTAGCCATGGATGGTCCTTGTTCCACCTGCCTGCCTTTGTTTTCATCTCTCATGGACTCTTTTTCTGCTGTCTTTTGAATGCACTTCATAATAAAGCTCCCTGTCTGAAAATTGCTCACAGGGTCGTCATTCTTTCATACCCCAGTGTAATAGTGCTAACTTAAGGAGACCTGAGCTTTATTTTTAATAGGTTAATGGGAGACTTTAGCTCATTGCAGACAAAGACAACTGCCTACAATTGATTTTAAACAAATAAAAATGCACATATACCAAGTAAAGCAGTAAAATGTTGAATATAATATCTTGGTGGATGTGCCAGTCATGAAGAAGAAGTATCTTCAGATTCAGGATAAGGACACTAAATGGAATACAGTGTCATTCTTGATGATTCATAGGAAAACATGATGAGCCAGTTCCAAAAATGGCCCAATAATAATAAGCATATCATTTAAATTCAACTATCAATTAAACATGGAAAAACTTATTTCAAGTAGCTACTTGTGAATTGTATCATTTGACAGTTTTATTTTTCCACAGAAAAAGCTAAAAATAATTCAGTAAACAGATCGATAAGTTTTAAAATAAATGGTATAGTTATGTAAGAATTTCGTGTAATGCTCACCTCCTTGTTGTGAATGTGAAGAAAACCTACGGATGATATTCGATCCGAAGTCAATTGGTGATCACAGTCCAATACTAATTCAAAATATACCCATAAATCAGGCACCTTGGTATAAATGTCTGACAGTTTTATCAAATGATTTTAGAGAGTGTCATTTGATATGGCATACGTGTATGGTCCGGTAATCTGTCAGCACAGTTGAAGTCTAAGCTCAAACGTCTCATTCAAACAACCATGAAGATTTTCGAGAAAAAAGAAGAGCACTATCCTCAATCTTTATATGAAAAATCTGTGCTAAGGGACGCACAGAAGATTCCAAATGACCCAACACACATCCTGAACACACAGATTATTAGGGTCCCTCAAACTAAATACCTTTACATTGTTTATTACAAGTGGGTTTAGAACTCAGGGCTTTGAAACTCTGCACCCTCCATTTACACATTCCATACACTGCTGAGCGGCACCTGCTTACATCAGAGGCATAATTAGCAGCCCTGTGATGCCTTATAAGTGAAGCAGTGCTTCCTATTTCCACCTCAAATGCGCGCAACACTCCAAACTCCAAGACCACCCAGCCCAAAAGGGCAGAATAGTGCTGAGGCTATAATTACACTTCAGAACAGGTGAGTGCAGTCTTCACACTACATGTCAACAATCAACAGAATGTCGACCAGAATAAATGAACACTGCTCACATCTTTTTTTTTTGTTTTTTTTTTTTAACAGAAAATATATTGGTACCTTTTCACTCCAACTTGTCAATGGGAAGCACTGACTGTATCCTGTACCATTTGCATAAAATTAATATAGTTGTAAAAGAGTGTAAAGCGATTGAATGAGATGAACCAAGATAATGGAGACTGCCCTTGAAAAACTGCAGGTTACATTAAGCCATGTCCATTTTAAACAGCACTGCTAAAACTGACCACGCATTTTACTTAAATGACCACAAGGCTTATTTTACCCCTCTCCCCCTACTCTTTTAAGCAGATTTCACATCATTGCAGCAAAGTAAAGGTAATTGATTATATTATTATTAATCAGGGTCGGCCCGTGGCATGGGCAATATAGACAAATGCTAAGGGCGGCAACTTCTGAAGAGGCGCCGAACTGCCAGCAAATTTCACCTCAAGCTGGGGGCGCTGGCGGTGATGCCCGCCTAGGGTGCCACACCGGCTAGGACCGGTACTGTTATTAATATATTATTATTATTATTTGCATTGTTCATCCACCTTCAAACCACAAGGTAGAGATACACCCTGTCCTTACATGACAGGGCAGACACAGGAACATACTCACTGTTATGCACTAGCAGCAATTTAAAGATGATAATAATATAATATAATATAATATAATATAATAATAGGCATAGTGGTGGTAGCAGCCATAATAGTGGTTTTGGGGTTAACAATGTATATGTAACAATTAATAGTGGGGGCAACATTAATGAGTGGAAAGCATGAACGAATGAACGTATTTCACTCAGATTTCCACTTTGTGTTTAAACAGCGCGTTATGTTTGGGTAAATATTACCGTAAAAGCTATGTTACGGTAACAGAAAGTGGATTTATTTTTGTTGGTCTCATACTGACAAACTCGGTGACATAAGTTTATTTACTATGGCACTGTTTCTGAGTGACAAAGCGCACGATGCCCAGTTCAGAGCTCCTCCCCTCTGAGTAAAAAGTCATCACTCTCTTCTCGGCTCCTCTTTATGTGGCGAACCTCACTTTTGCACAGCAAAGGCATCGCTAGACGTTCCGGGCTGCGAAACGCTGTGAAAACTTCAGCGCGTCGGTTAATCACTGAGACCTCTAAAGTCCAGCTTACTTTTGGCGGATATATAAATGCATGCAAGAATGAACTGAAAACCCATTTTCAACTACATTTCATTGAACAATTAAACTGTTTCCATCACCCATTGCCTTTCTTAATGATTTATTTTTAACAGTTTTATTGTCAAGAATCCGAGGGTTATACCGGAAGTTAATCCCGAGTTAAATTTGAGCAACTTTACTAAAAAGTGAAAAACGTGTGGATACCAGGAAGAGCTGCACAACCTTGAATGAAGGACCGAAAGAGCCGCTATTAGAGATGGACTTCGCCTTGGATTAAAATGAGGAGTTAAAAACGAGATCATGGTTTCCCCTGAACCGCTTTGCTATTAATAGGTAAAGTGTGAGTAATTACTTCAAATTATTAATTTACCATTTACTTTTAAGGCAGAAGTTTGTTTCATCTGGGAATATACATTTCTCTAACGACAAAAATGAAATAGCATTCATTTGCCTGTAGATTTTAAAGATCTGTGTCGATTTTTATCAGGTTTTGGGGATAAATTGCGGTGCCAGTTGGAGATCAGTAAATGACTATTATGTTATTATATTACTAAAAAAGTCCTCTTAGTCCCCTCTTAGGCTACATAAGACTTGGCCTGGCGTTGTGTTTTGTGCAGTATAAATAAGCTTAACCTACCGTATCTTAATGGCCGAAAACGTGCTTTTGTTCTCACTCTAAATATGTTTTACTGGGGTGCGGTAATAGTATCTTTGCAGAAAATTAAGCCGAGGAGCGTTTTATTCATAAATATTACAAAGCATTTTTCCATCCCTGTCACCAAAAAGTTTATGTGAAAAAAACGACAGAGCCCTAGTTGTTAGTCAGAATTGTGTATTTGTAAATAGGCATTTAAAAATATCAGAATACTAAGAGGTTAATGAGCTGTATTTGTTTATTGTCCTGCTGACTGGAGTGCATTTGGCATTTTGAATTAGAGAAGAAGTTTAATGGCATTTATTAAAAAGTTGATGTGTGTGAACGTCATAAAATTAAAAAAGTACAAAAGTGTCTCATACAGAAGAGAATGTCTGTGTTTTTGGTGTCAGACAGCTGTGAGAGATTTCCCTGGCAAGACGTGTGGAAAATGGCAGATGCAGGTGCCACCTTACTGTCAGTGATGGTGCTGCTGGCAGTGCTGCCCCGAGCTCGCCCGTGTCCACGCCCGTGTGCCTGCTACCAGCCTACGGAGGTGCACTGCACCTTCCGCTCCCTGCTCACGGTCCCAGCAGGCATTCCCAAACAAGTGGAGCGTGTGAATCTGGGGTAAGCAGCATGGGAACGGGCCATTTGGGGACGCCACCCAGCATGTAGGATGCAAACTTACCCCACTGTCTGAAATCTGCTGAGCAGACGTGTCTTACTGTGTGAAGGAGACAATATTGCACCTGTGAATGTGTGATATCAAGCATTTGACAGACATTCAAAAAAATGTTAAGTATCTGCTTCCAAGTACTCTGTGAAGTGTCCCTTTTCAGTTTTTCTTAGCTTCTCAGAGCTCTGACTGGTGTAACTGACAATTCTGTGGCAGTAAACTGGCAACAGCTAACTTCTTGCTGTCTTGTTACAGGTTTAATGCTATAAACAGGATCACAACTAGTTCTCTCACAGCGTTAAGAAAGCTGGAAGTTCTTCTGATGCATGGAAATAACCTACACAATATCCCAGATGCGGTCTTCAGAGACCTGGTGTCACTGGAGGTAATGTCGTTATGCATACAGGCAGTCCCCATACAGGCAGTCCATATGCATGCAGTCCCCATACAGGCAGTCCCCATACAGGCAGTCTACATGCATGCAG